ATATATATATATATATATATATATATATATATATATAGGGACAAGATCAAATGTTAACCAAAGTTTTTTGTTAACTTTGCAAACCATGTCAACCAATCACAATTCATTCTTCTATTAGGTTTCTCTCATGTTCACAATTTAATGCCAAGAGTAATTAAGTAATTTCATTAGCTATGTAACTCCCATACCAATAAAGGGGAGTTATAAAATCATAAAATCCTTAAAAATATGTATTTATAATATTGATATTTTTATTTATTTTTTAATCTTGATCTTTCATTTTTATTGTTTTATGAGTTTTAATTCGTGGAGGAAACACGGTAGTAAAATCTCCGGTATCGTTCAAGCTATTATGGATAAACAAGAGGTGAACACGATATGAACAAGGGGTGAACACGATATGAATAAAGAGTGAACAACCACATAAGACCAGAAACATATATGAACAAGGGATGAACCTTAAACGGTGTGGATGCAATGCATGTATAAAACTGCAATTGACAAATGATCGCTTCTGAATGTGTTTATAATGAAGGAACTATTGTTCATAAGCTATTCATATTGTGTTCATACTCGTTTTATTTATTTATTTCCTTTCGTATAACAGTTATTCTTATTATGTTCATATTTTGTTCATAAATGCTATGCAGTCCAAGTTTATATATATGTCAATTTTTTGTTCGTATTTGACATATATATATATATACATATATATAGTTGTGTTAATATGGTTCTTATATTAACAAAAATATATTAACAAAAATCATAAGTTTTTTTGATTTTGTAACTCCCAATTAATGATATGGGAGTTACATAATTTTTTTTACCTAAATAACCTTTTCAACTTTGTTCACTTATCTTTATGAAATTTTAAATTTAAAAAAATAAGTTTTTATCATGATTAATCACAACCGTTTATTGAATGATTGAATGGCTAAGACCGGTTAACAAAGTTAATACAAAAACTTTGGTTAACATTTGATCTTGCCCCTGTATATATATATATATGTATATGTATATATATATATGTATATGTATATATATATATATGTATATGTATATATATATATATGATGCGAAAATTCATTAAAGCATAAAATGATAGAGTTGTATGGGGGAGTTGAATGCTGATCATTCAGTCGGTTAGAATGTGATGCACCGGAGATCCCGTAGCTGTGTGCGTCTTCTTTTCTGATCATTCACTTCTCCATCCTTTCATCGTTTTTGATTTTCAGTTCTTTCCTCTCCTTGACTTTTGCAATTTCTGTGAAATTAGGGTTTCGTTACTTCCGATCGCAAATAACTGTGGTGGAGTAAAGAATTTGATCAAGCGGTACATTATGGCATCGTCACCGTCGGCGACAGAAGAGGAAGAAACCTATAACTCTTCTTCGTCTGTTAAATTTGGTACTGCTGAGGCCCTTGAACACGTCCAAGAGCTCACAGATGTTGGAGCCATGACTCGTCTCCTTCATGAGTGCATTGCCTACCAGCGTGGCCTAGATCTCCAACTCGAGAACATCCTCTCCCTCCGCCCCGATCTTGACAAGCATCTCTCTTTCCTCCAGAAATCTGCCGATGTCCTTGACATTGTGAAAGCCGAGTCCGATCACATGCTATCCAATGTTGATTCCACTTGTATTCTCGCCGATCAGGTTTCCAGCAAGGTCCGTGAACTCGACCTTGCTCAATCTCGCGTCAATGAAACCCTCCTTCGCATAGATGCCATTGTAGAAAGGTCCAACTGCATTGATGGCGTTCAAAAGGCCCTGGATAACGAAGACTTTGAGTCAGCCGCTAATTATGTCCAAACCTTCCTCCAGATAGATGCAAAATACAAGGATTCAGGTGCAGATCAGAGGGAGATGCTCTTTGCTTCTAAGAAACAACTCGAAGCAATTGTTAGGCGAAGACTATCAGCGGCTGTGGACCAGAGAGACCACCCCACTGTCCTTCGTTTCATCAGGCTTTACTCGCCTCTGGCTTTGGAAGAAGAAGGATTACAGGTCTATGTTAGTTATTTAAAAAAGGTGATATCTTTGAGATCTAAACATGAATTTGAGCAGTTGGTGGAACTCATGGAGCAAAATCAGAGCCAGGTAAATTTTGTTGCCTGTTTGACCAATTTGTTTAAAGATATCGTGCTAGCAATCGAAGAGAATGAAGAGATATTGAGGAGTTTGTGTGGAGAAGATGGCATTGTCTATGCAATCTGCGAGCTCCAAGAAGAGTGCGATTCTAGGGGTTCTTTGATATTGAAAAAGTACATGGAGTTTCGTAAGTTGTCCAAATTGACGTCTGAGATCAATTCTTACAAGACCGATTTGACCGCTGCTGGGGATGAAGGCCCGGACCCAAGGGAAATTGAGTTGTATCTGGAAGAAATATTGTCACTTACACAGCTGGGAGAGGACTACACCGAATATATGGTTTCAAAGATAAAGGGGCTGAGTCATGTCGATCCAGAATTGACTCCTCGAGCCACTAAAGCTTTTAGGAGTGGGAATTTTAGCAAAGTTATTCAAGACATAACTAGTTATTATGTGATCTTGGAGGGATTCTTCATGGTGGAAAATGTCAGGAAGGCTATTAAGATTGATGAGCATGTAATGGACAGCCTCACAACGTCCATGGTTGATGATGTGTTTTATGTTCTACAGAGTTGCTGTCGTAGGTCGATATCCACTTCCAACATTAATTCTGTTATTGCTGCATTGAGCAGTGCTGTAAGTTTGCTGGGTGGTGAGTATAACGATGCTTTGCAGCAGAAAATGAGGGAGCCCAACCTTGGAGGAAAGCTGTTCTTGGGTGGTGTTGGAGTGCAGAAGGCAGGAATCGATATTGCTACTGCCTTGAATAACATGGATGTGAGCAGTGAGTATGCCCTGAAACTACGACATGAGATTGAAGAGCAATGTGCTGAGGTGAGTACCCGTCATCTAAACCCATTCACCACTATGTTGTGTTTTCTCTTATTTCCTAAAAATGCTCATATTATCACTCTTGAAGAATTAAAGGTTGGTTTTGTTCCCTTCAAGAAAACCCTTCTACCCACTGAAGGTTGTTACGAAATTAATTTTATAGGGGTACAATATTGACGAATGTTAATGTTTATGCAAGGATTACTCAAACATTTCCCCTTGCACATTAAGCAAATGGTAAAACCAGCTTGTTCTCCTAACATGGGCAGTCCCATGCCATTTTGTCATGAACAATAAAATATTCTTTAAATTTTTCAAGGTTTGACTTATTATTTTCAAATTTTGTTTAAGGCCAACTAATAGTAGTACTATTCACTTCAAACAATAATTTCTTTGTTCTTATACTTTAATAACAATGCTTAAATCTTTTAGTCTCCCTGACGCTTTAGTAATGGATATTTGGAAAAAACTAAATTTTTCAAGCAACAATGACAATTACGTTTGTTGCCTTATGTCCTCGTCTACCTTTTCAAGTTGGGATTTGTCACGTAGACGCCCGACGTACATGTATGGGGCAAGTGCAAGCATTCTCTAATAAAGGATCCACAATTATCTCATGTGACACCCCTCATTTAATCATTATCTGGCATGGGAAATGAGTAGGAGTATCAGTTAAAAACAAATTGCAATACTCATGGTTTGTGCATAATACGTAGTCACATTAAACATTACATTCACTTATTCAGTACAAGTTCACAAATATCACAAACGTAATATATAGACGTGTAGCTACTTATTCTAATTTCCCTTATCAGTCATGCACCTGTCTTGTGTGACCTAGGTGGGAAAACATAAGGTATAAGCGATGAAGCTCAACAAGTAACCATGCACTAGGGTAGAATTAAGTGTGATAAGAGTGGTTAGGCAATATTGACAGTGAAAGAAAAACTATAAAAGCAATGAAATAACCAATGGAAATGAGAATGCATTATGAAGTAATAATATGGACTCATAACTCCATAGTTCATATTAGTCACAAATAAACATGGATATCTTCAAATACAAACTAGTGTTTATCAAGACTTTTATTCGTGAGATCATACTTGTCCTTCTGAACTCAACTCATTTGTATTTACTTCTACTTGGACAAAATCACGTAGAAAGTTCATTTGATGTCATCTCAAAAGGCTTTGCTTACAATAGGACCGTCATGCCAATTTTCTGTCTCAAAAGGTTTCACCTTATACTCTTATATCATGGTATAGTAGTAGTTCTCTGTTGGTGCTACAAGACAACCAATTATATATGTTTTCATATCCTTTTGTCATGCATGCATTAAAGATTATGATAAGAACAAATATGTGCCATGCTCAGATTTTCTAGCTCAATATTATCATAAAGGCTACGGAACCTCAACAACTTACATTAAAAAGTTCATACAGTAAGCAGTTATGAATAAACTGCCATATGATTGATCCAACAAAGAGAAATGAATGCAAGGCTCAAACTGGAACAGAATAGGAACTGGCTGTAGTTCAAACACAACAAGTAGTTGAAGTTAAGGATGGATGTGTCGTCCTATTGTCATATGCAAGCAGCCAAGCATGTAGAAGTTTTGTGTAAAAAGGGATTTGTAACTTGAACTTCTTTTGGTTAATTCTCCTTTGATCTTGTGAAGGTCTTAGCGTGTAAACAATCTAGAGTTCAGAAAACTTATTTATGTAAAGCCATTTACTCATTTTTCTGAAACCAATTTCTCACCCTGAGGTGGGTGTCTGCAAAATAATTTCTCATATGCTTTCTTTCAAGTACTTAACATCCATTTAGATGGGCTGAGTACCCTTATTAGAAGCTTGGAAGTCAAAAAGCTCTTAACACTTCTATCAATATTTCAATTCGATCTTATTTTATTTGCTCTAGTTTTCTTAGTTTTCAGGTGCAAAGTAAGGGCTTCCTTGTTTATACTAAGGTCATCAAAGTTGGAGGGTGAGGGGCTGCCAATCCCCCTCTCTTGGGCCTGTATATACCCTGCAAGGATTCATAAACCTAGAATTCCTTTTACTCAATCAAACATATTTGTCTTCTTTTACCGCTAGCCTGGCCTCATTTCTTATATCTGGAATTTTTTGTTTGACTTGAAGGTTTTTGTTCTTATTTGTTTGGTTTTGTTCTGCTATTATTATTTGTTGAGAGCTTTGGCAACCAGTTGCTGTTCCAAGCAGCTCTGCATACTTCAGATTGACCGGACAGTTGTTGTTTCAACAATTGTCTTATTAATCTTTTGTTCTTTCATAGCATTGTTTCTCCAGCACTTGCTTCTTTTTCCTCAAGCAACTCCTTTTGCCATGGTTGACTTTTGACCCTCTTGTTTGACTTGGGGCATCCTTGTCTTCATTCAAACAACTTAGTTTATGGTAGATTTATCAGGATTCTGTTGTTTTAGCATCCCTGCACATGGAGCTGCTATTCAGCAAATGTTCTGGTGACTTCCATCATTATTGCTTTAAAGAGCTTTGTGCAGTCTACCTTAGCCATTTTAGATGCACCATTTTCATTGTCTGGTTGACTTTAACTTCAAGGCGACATACACTCACTTTGTACCTTTAGCTTAATCATAGTACTCTTTGTTTATTCAATCTCTTAATAGCCTTGCCCTAATCATCTAGGTTAAACATACTTGGTCTACATTGCACAAAGTATGCTTATCCACTCGTTCTAATGAAATTGGTCTCGTAGAAGAAGTGTATATTTGCATACTCATAATTTTTTTGAGCGTATAAAAGAAACATATTTATGTATAAATAGGTTATTAAACTCTACAAAGCCTGAGTGGCTCGAGGATGGTCTACTGTTTACCAAGATATTTTACATTTTCTTTTATCTTGTAACATTCTAGAATTCTCTTGATTCTTGTAATAATTAGGCACTTAGGATTTGCAAGGAACCCATGATCTTCTTGGAACTAGAACTTTTCTTGAGCGGATGGAACCTCCTACAAAACAAGGAGAGCTCTGCATAAGCATGAAATAAGTGATCACTCGAGGTTAAAAAAAGTCTTTTGAGTTTCTGTCAAACTATATCTGGTTTTTAGTAGCTTATTTATCACTTCCATACAAGGCTTATTATCTCAAGTGGGATGGTGTTGATGTTAAGGCCACACAAAATGGCTAAGGAGATCTTTGTCCATTCGATAAGAAGGGAGCTCACTGCATTAAGTCTCGTGATGTTTTGTTGGCCATGGAGATTTTGTTTTCTTGACACGCACACCCTACTTTGGAACATTAAACTTTAGGTGCTAGTAAAGGTATAGATTGCTACTCTTTACCTCATAAACGTTGCTTGTGTGTGGTGACACACAAAGCATCACAATAAACATAGATTCATGAGGTGCTTTCAAGGCAAAACTCGTGGAGCAATTTTACATTTCTAAACTCACTTATCAAATGAGATGGCAATCTAAGGATTTGAATCATGAATGTTCCATATAGGACCATGCTAAGAAGTTCTTCTACCAGATGCTTTATATTCTATACTCATCCTCGTGGATGGGCTCAAGCCATGGGCTTCCCAAAAGCTCGAGTGACGTGAGATTAAAGATGTGGTTGAAGCCCTCATGTATATTGACAGCCTTGGTAGAGTACCATACTTAGAAAAGACCCGAGTCAACTAAGTTTAGCTTCATAAGATAAGAGGATATGTCAACAGTCTGAGATTTGAGAATTAGACCCTCGATGCATTGGTTAGAACGTTGAGCAAGGATGGAGGGAGAATATCCTAAGCCTATGCCTAAATGTTGTTACATGTCTAATGAGTTGATTCAGTTCGGTAAATATTGATCAAATTGAACTCCAATCAAATACTTATTTTTCCACTCAAAACAATAACAAAAATCTTCCAGAGCCGGACCTTTTCCTCTCACCACTATTGGTGCATGAATTACATTTAGAACAATTGAATGAATACTTCTATCCTCCCTACTTGTTTCTGTACTCCCCATAGTACCAAATTGACCTCCTAACCATCCTACAACTGTTTGTAATGACCTCCTCTTTAAAAAAATAAAAAGGTCCTTCACCCTCCCTTTTTGGCTTGGGAATATGTTCTCAATTCCTCATGCTCATTGTGAAGATTACCTGAAGAAACAAAGATTTAAGGGATGGTAGTGTGGTTTCATGAAGAACAAAGCAACAATGGCAAGAAGAAGAAAATGACTTTGATGCTATGGTTGTGCAATCCTAGGCGTCCATGTGGAGAGGTAATCTTAACATAGGGCTGATATATGTCCCATAAAGAGGAAAAATGAATGGGCAGAGCAAGCATGATTACAAGGAAATAAGTCGCCGATGACACCATGAATTGGAGGAGAATGTAACAATTTGCTCTCCTTGCCACCATTTTTAACCATCAGTATAAAATATGCGTTTATGACGCAAGTTGGCACACATTATCTTTGAGGATTTGTAATCCCCTAGAAAGCTTCAAGTAGCCTTAGGATGCTCATGTGTTAATGTGTATCTAGTTTTAGCATTCTCCTGTATCTTGTAACATTCTAGAAATGATGGTAGTTGTAGTTGTCTTAGCATTTGTAGAAATTTTGATGCTTGTAGTGGTCTTCAACCTATACAATGTTCTAGAAATTGGACTAAACGGCCGCCTAGGAGGAGGGGGGTAAAATTTTCCCTTTATGATCGAATAGCAAAATTAAGTGGTTTTAGCTTAGTATCGGCAAGTAGATATTTTTCGTTGTTCGTATTCATAATGATTTGTTATCGTTTCATTTGCAAAGTAGGTGATGCTTTTGAAGGGTGGATTTAAAAGAACATGTATTTGATTTATGTATGCTAGATAACCTGTTCACCAGTTGCACTCTAATGAGTTTACATGCTGAAGTTCTACCAATGTGATTAGATGCAACATATTCCTTGGTTATGTATCAATTTTAGCTACAACAAATCAAAATGACTGAAAATTAGAATGCAAATTCCCCAGGAAGGTTGGTCAAAAAAATGGTATGTCTGCACATGTAATGGTAACTGTTATTGAATAGACATTTTCTAACTCCTGTATGTATTTACTATATCTAACAGAAAAGATAGCGTGCATCAGTTTGTTTGAGGATTGCTCGTTGTTTTATCCTTTTTTTCCTACTGGTTAACTTTTGTTCTACATCTACTTGGAGCAATTGGTAAAGTTACTTCTTTATGACCGGAAGGTCATGGGTATGAGTCTCACAAACAACCTCCTTGCAAACGTCCAAGGGAAAAATTGTTGTGCATTCAAAGACTTCACGTGCCAACTCTTGCAAAGTCAGGGATGAGGAGTCTTGGTTTATCCGAATTGTCCTTCCTAAACTAGTCTTATTCAGGGATGAGGAGTCGTGGTGCATCCAGCTTGTCCTTTCTAAACTAGTTTTAGGAGCTGTTTGTTTTTGCAAATTAGCTTAATCCATATAGACAACTTAATTCATACAAGACCAGAATTCAGTGTATCAACTTCTCCTGCTGAGGTTGAGTATGTTGCCTCTGCAAGTTGCTGTTCTTAGATTTTGTGGATAAAAAACCAATTGGCAAAACTTATCTTAATAAAATTGCCTTTTCTTTTCCTCTTCAGGTATTCCCTGCTCCAGGTGATAGAGAAAGGATCAAGTCGTGTCTATCCGAGTTTGGAGAGATGAGCAATGGGTTCAAGAAGGCCTTGGTTGCTGGGTTGGAGCAGCTTGTAGGTACCATGACACACCGAATCCGTCCAGTTTTGGACAGTGTGGCAAGCGTTAGTTATGAGCTCTCTGAGGCGGAATATGCAGAAAACGAGGTGAATGACCCATGGGTTCAGAGACTTCTTCATGCTGTCGAGACCAACACGGGATGGCTCCAGCCCGTGATGACGGGCAACAACTATGACTCTTTTGTTCATTTGGTAATCGAGTTCATCGTAAAAAGGCTTGAGGTCATCATGATGCAAAAAAGGTTCAGTCAGCTTGGAGGTCTGCAACTGGACAGAGATGTGAGGGGTCTAGTGAGCCATTTCTCGGGCATGACCCAAAGAACGGTGAGGGATAAGTTTGCTCGGCTAACCCAAATGGCAACGATTCTGAACCTGGAGAAGGTTTCGGAGATTTTGGACTTCTGGGGTGAAAACTCAGGACCCATGACCTGGAGACTAACTCCAGCTGAGGTGAGGAGAGTTTTAGGCATGAGGGTTGATTTCAAACCAGAGGCAATAGCTGCTCTTAAATTGTGATCACCAACTTGGCATAAACAAGGGTTCAATTTGTTTGTTTTTATTGAAAAGAAAAGCAGAATCTCTTTCTATTCAGAATGTTTTTTTTTAAATCTAAAAGAGAAATTTATGGACTCTGGTGGATGTGAAGAGATGTGGATATTGTGCTGCTTGTTTGTTTCAACATAAATATAACAAACATGGTATCAACCTGTAAAAATGGTATATAATGTTATTATCTACTCTTTGGTTCTAAAAATAATTGGTTTTGTGAAATATGAATTTAAGAACTCAACTCAATGACTTATTTGCTAAGCTATATAATATATGGTTGTTCGTTTATATTAAGCGGATATCAGTGTTCAACTTCGTTATTTTGACCCTACCATTTTATCCATAGATCAAGAACAAAAGCAACATCGTCATTTCTCTCTGTCAACTAGAGATGTACTAGGTCCAAGTATTCAAATTTCGAAACAAAAAGAAAATTCTATAAAGACCAAGTTGGGTCGGATTTGGATGTAAATATAGGCACAATCTTCTCTGATCGAGATTTAAAAGGTCTTAAAAAATGTTGGACTATCAGGGCTAGGACTATCGGGTAACCCTGTTCCTACCAAAATCCGGTCCCAGGCCAGAACAGTGATGCTCATAACCGGTCCTGGTCTCGGTCATCAAACTTGAGCCCGTTTAACTTGATCCATAACCGGTTATGGTAATCGGTCCCAGTCCCAACTAGTCCGTACCAAAGAGAGAAATAAATGAGAATTATGAAGTGGAAGCGAGAAATGAATACGGGCTGCAAACGCAAAATATAGCGAGAAATCGACAATTGTGAACGTGTTTTTGTGTTTTGTGAGTTGGTATCTTACACCATATTCCATGATACATATATATTGTTTAGAAGACCAAAAAGACAAAAAAAAGTCAAAAATCGCAAAAAACAGTCATATAAACGTTCCCAACGGTTAAAAAAACGACTTTCTTTTAACTCACGGGGCCGGTCCCACAAATCCGTCCAAAAGCATAACCGGTCCTGTCGACGGTTCCTCAACCGGTCCTTACCGGTCCCGGGCCGATTTGGCCATCACTGATCGGGTTTATATATCTGACCTGGGCTGAGGGCATGGGGATTTTCGGGGGCTTGGGCTTATGTTCTTTTTCATCTCTGATTCTCACTGCCAACGACGTCGTCCCGCTTCTCTTTGTCGACCAACCGGTGCGATATGTGCCCTCCACCGTTGATCGCCTTGCTCCGTCGTTGAAGCACAACCGTGTGCATTCAGGTTTCAAAAGGTAATCCTTGGACAGCCTCCATCTATTGGTTTCTTTTGAAATTAGGTTCTGTGGGTATGGTGACGACCTGCAGTTTTAGGAAACTAGCTTATTCGATCGATGAGATGTCTTAGTCGATCACATTACTTGTGTTCATTCTTGGACACTGAGGTTGAAACTTCAATCTTCCTCTTATGTATTTTGTTTTTTATTTTCAGTTCGTTAAATGACTGGTTTGGGTTGATTTTTTATATTAAAATTCACTTGAGTTGCTCACGATTTTGTGTGTATTTTCCTGAATGCTCTCTCAGTTGCTGAATCTTCCTGCCGAGTTTGTGGTTATACTTAGTTGAATCTTGACACAATCTTAGTAAAATCCAATTCCAGGTCACATAATCTCGCAAATACTGAAATACCAAACAAGGGTTTCTTGATTTCATGTGTTCCTTTATCATGTTATGGTTTACACCTTCAACTTGATTGCAGTAAATCTAGGTGTGGTTTTCCATTGGTTGCAATATCATACATCCTTGGTTTTTTCGTATTAGCATAGGTAATATAGTTAGAAGCCATCTGCTGATTATTGCATACATCTGCTGATTATTGCAAACATTTGTTTACTATTACACCTGTTTAAAAGGATTTGTAGGGAAATCGTTGTTCTTGAAGTACATTTGCTGCTGATTTGTGTACTTGCTGAAGTGTCTCTTTTCATGTCAAGTATAAAGAAAGCATAAATATGGTTAATCATGATTGTCAAATTAGTCTCCTTGTTTTGATCTTCACTTGGTTTCTGGCACAATTGCCGATTATAAAGTATATTTTAATCAGTATTGCTAGTGTTACTTATGCTACATCTTTCCAGCAGTATAGATAATTTTGATTTGTCTATCTTCAGGCATTATGCTCAACAATGTGGCTCAAAACCTCTCGTCGTCAATGCATGCCTTTTACAGYGAGGCATTTCTCCAGAGTGTCTCCTCCACCACCTGATTGTAGTGAATCTGTTATCCGAGTATCTAACAACATAACTCATTTGGGTCGTCCTAAAGCTGGCTACAAGCCTCGACAACTCTTATCCTTGCCCCCATTCCCATCTCATCCTCTACCTGGAAAGAATGTTTCTCCTGATTCTCATACCACTGCTATTAGCTGGATGAAGTATTATTTTGCCGATGTGGCCGGCTCTGTGATTCAGTCCCACTTTAACAAGGGTCTTGTGAGTACATTTCCTTTTTGAACTTCTCTCTATTAAGATCTTTCTAACATGTTCCTACCTGTGGGGTTCTATTCTTATATGCACTTTTCTAAAATTTTCAACGTCAATAAATCTTGTATAAAAGGAAATTTAAATACAATCTCTAATGTCTTAATCATAAAAACCAATTAGAATCCATCTGGACTACATATAATAGTAATTTTGAATGGCTATGTGTCGAAATTGATACATCATACATCCTATACAAGTTAACATATAGTTATCTATAGGGTTAACATGATTGACGTCAATAAATCTTGTATAGGATGTATGACAGTATGAGTTAACTGTTACATGCCTCTTGTCTTTACAAATAAATAATTTCCAAGAAGAAAGACAATGTTATATGGTGTTGACGCTTGACCAAGATTGTATAAAAGTTGTATTTGGACTTTTTTTTTATTAACCTAAATATCCAACCCTCTATGCGAGCCGACTAATCCTAGGGCGACCACCTGCTTTGCGGGTAGCCCGGAGTCACCGCATTTGAACCTCCGTGGCCACAAGGGGATTTTTATTCCTCCTTGGATTTGAACTTGAGACCTCCAGGCACTTTGACCTTTGGAGCCCAAACTCAAACCAATTTAGACTTGAATTCAGCCTCCAACAACCATGACAGTACTATAAGAAAATTACTGAGAAGAATAAGAAGTAATAAAGCTGAATGTTTTATGATCTATATCCTAAGCAACTGAATTGATACATATTGCTAAGTTTGAAACACGTAGTTTTTAATGTGTATATTGTTTCCAGGTGAAAATGGAGTGTCATTATGCAGGGAAGCAAGGACAGACGAAACCTGTGAGGGTATAAACTTAAGTTACTGCACAATTTTTGTTTGCAGTGCATGATATACTGTACGTTGTGAAAAGCTGCTTTAAAACATGCACATTAGGTGTTTGTTGCTGAAATTTTGTACAGTGACTGCTCAATTCTCATTTTACCATTTCATTTTGGATCCTATTTATATGGTGTGAGGAGAGATGAAGGCATGTCATAAGTCCTGTTTATGTGATGTGAGGACAAATCAGGATGGAAACCATAAAATGAAGAATAGAGAACGTAGGAAAATGGTATAAATGAATGAAACCTACTTATATTACTAACAAGTTTGTGCTGACCCACTCCGGTCCATGTAATATTTTCTGTAAATCTGCTCGATTATTTCTTTTATTTTGATTCAACTATCTTGCACTACTGAACAGATTAAGCACAATGAAGTCATGAAGACTGGTTCTACAATTTACGTGCCTGTATCTGTTGCTGAATCTAAAATCTCCAGAAGATTTGATACCATACCAAGTGGGTCTCTATGTCCAAATGCAGATGAAATAGAATATTTACAAAGGCTTGTCATGTACAAGGCATGTCTTTAGTTCTTATACCTTTCATGTTATGTGGATATGATATTAGGTTCTTTGATTTGCTAGTGCCTGATTAGCATCTAGTTCATGTGATGCCCTTTTCCCATTTTTTTGTCTGGTCAATATATGATGGAAAAAAGGTACCTTTGCAGGTACCATGTTTGTAGTTTTGTGAGATTTATTTCATGGCATTTTGTCTAGTTTATTATGCTGTACGTTTACTTTGTTGATCACCTTATTCTGAAACTTTAGGACTCCGCTCTACTTGTTCTGAACAAGCCACCAAAGGTTCCGGTTAAGGTTGGTTCCTTGGCTCAGACTTTATTTTTTAGGCTGTTTTTATGTTCTTTTCCCTGATGATTTGTATATGTATCTATGTTTCAGGGGAATATGGCTGTTCATAACAGTATGGATGCACTGGCAGCTGCAGCATTATGTTACGATTATGATGAGGGACCTAAACTGGTAATCATTCTTCAAATATGATTTTAGGTTTAGGTTCAAGTTCATTGTAGTTGTTACTGTTGTCGGTCGACAGGTAGTACATGAGATTTGTATTGAAGATAGAGAGAGAGAGAGAGAGAGTGTGTGTGTGTATAAAGATGAATTAAATAAGTTTATATATAAAATAAGATGTGTCTTCACGTGGTTGGTGGGACATTAGATTTGGGGACGAGAGTTTTATTTGCAAAGTTGCTCAAAAGGATTTGCGATCCACATACCCCTCTCCTTGTGCTAAATATGTGACTATCACCATGTAGGTTCATCGTCTTGATCGAGAAAGCAGCGGGATTCTTTTAATGGGCAGATCAAAAGAGAGCATCTCTCATCTTCATTGGTTGTTCAGTGATGCCGGTAAAACAAAATCCTCACTTAAGGTATAAATTGATTTCATACCTTGGGGAAGGTGGAAGTGTATGATGTGATAGACTCTCTTATCTTGGTGCAATGTTATCCATCACAACTTTTAGGCATGGAATGATGCATGTGAAGCTACATATCAAAAGTATTGGGCACTGGTCATAGGTACCCCAAAGGAAAAGGAGGGTCTAATTTGTGCCCCTCTCACAAAGGTTGTTTTCTTACTCTTGTATGTTTATATTATCACTAAGAGTGTGTTTGGTACGTAGAGAGGACTTAGGGCCTGTTTGTTAGCAGCTTAATGAGCTTAACAAGACTCGCAACTTATTGATACATGACTGTTTGGTAGTGGCTTAATGATATAGAAAATGTTTTATCCAGTAAGCTTCTAAGGGGGAGCTTTATGTTGGAAGCCAAGTTTTTTAATTCCAAACCTTCCCCTCTTAATTAAAAAATGCACACCTTTCATTTATGAAAAACCCTCGTAAACAAAAACCTTCCCAATCTATACAGACAAATTAATCCACACATACAGCTTTGTCCATACAGGATTTAATGGAAAACTAACCAAACAGCTCCTTAATTGGACTAGACTAGCTAAGGTGAGGTTGGCGGGTGAAAGAATCATGGAAGGTTTTAAGGTTTTAATTTTACATGGGTAATTTAGTAATTTACCTATTTTGTCTCATCTCCCTATATTTAGTTCCACCTATATTGGTGAGACAAAAAACTGTATTTTTGTCCCACTTGGTTCAGTTCTGCCCCAGTCTAATTGTCAAGCCAAAGATGGGACAACAAGTTTTTGTTTTGTCCTGACCTGTCCTGTTCCACGTACCAAATGCAACCGAAGAAAACATATGAAGTTTTTTTCTCGTAATTGGTCACAGGTTCTGTTAAACGGAGGAAAAGCCGAGAGGGTAATGCTGGCTTATGGTTCTGGTTTAGAAGCTTCACAGGAGGCTGTAACAGAATATCGAGTGCTTGGTCCTACAATAAGTGGTTGTTCGTGGCTTGAATTGCGGCCACTTACACACCATAAGCATCAGGTATGAACCATGTTGCCAGTTTATTCATGGCTCGATATTTCACATATTAATTTCATATTTTACCCTTTACCCCAGATCAGGGTGCACTGTGCTGAAGCTCTTGGTACACCAATCGTGGGTGACTACAAGTATGGGTGGTTTGTGCACAGCAGATGGAAGCAAATGCCGAGGACTGATTTCGAGCCAACAAGCGGGGAAGCCTACAAGATGAGAAGGCCTGAAGGGTTGGATGTTCAGAAGGGAAGTGTATTATCAAAGGTACCATTGCTACATCTGCATTGCAGGGAGCTTGTAATTCCTAATGTTGCCAAGCATCTTGAGGTCCAAAATACATTAAAATCAAAGACAAATTGCAAGAAGTTGTTGAATTTGAAGGGAGATGTGCTTAGATTTGTAGCATCAATGCCTTCCCACATGAAGATCAGTTGGAATCTTATGTCATCTTACTTGGTTTGACCTTTTCACTTGTGTTTTTATTTATAGATGTGATCTTTCACTCCAAAGTAGGATTGTAGGTGAGATGTATGTAGATATGATATGTTTTCGTGAAGACCATGACTTGTGCAAAAATATGTGCGGAAAAGATGGTTCAGAATTATAATTACTTCGTCTCTTATGGTTGGGTTTCGGTGAAAATGAAAGTTATGATGAGAAGGGTAAGAAATGATCTTCATCCTTAGATTAATCTTAATTGGAGATCAACAGTCTTGAATGCTCCGGATCAATTCCCGTATCAAGCACAATTCATGTGGTGGGGGTGGGGGTGGGGGTGAGATAAAAACGATCAAGGGTCCAGATCGAGAAATATAAGAAGGGATTTGGACCTTTGATGACCTTTAATCCCAAACTAACCCATGAATTGTGTTTTATAAGGGAATTGATCTGGTGTATCTCATTAGTGTATCCAATGGTTATCTTCAATTATGATTGATCCAATGATAATGATTCCTTTTTAGTTTTTGTTCTTTTCACCGAAACTCAACCCTTCATATCATAACACGTTATCATATATTAATGGTATTGTTTTGTGTTGGTTCGTACAAACTTTTTATGGTTTTGTATCGTTATGTACTATGTTTTACAGTATTATAAGATTTTGTACGGTTCTGAATTTCAGAGAATAGGTGGTGACGGTTGATTTTAGTGATTTGACCCAAATTGTGGTGCTCGTTTGTTCCATTGTTCGATATTAATTTGATATGACCCAAATTGTGGTGCTTGTTTGATCCATTGTTCGATATAAATTTACGCCTTTTATAGGGATTTCAACTACTTCTATAGGTGACCTCGGTAGCCGTCACTATCCAACCATATCCTTGACTTCTACGTTAAGGGAAGTTGGTCAAAATAACCATTTTTCTCACATAAGTTGGTCTTTTAATGATGAATTTTATTGGTAAGTAAGCGATAGTGTTGAATTTTATGGGTAAGTGCTTATCGAGTAAGTGTTTAAATAAACGAAAATCAGTTAAAAGTAAAGCTTCATTTAGAATGTGCATAAAATAAGATGAATTGTGATAGAAGCCGGCAGGTAGCTTCTTGAGGAAATCAAATGCTGTTTAAAAGCTTCATTTATTTAATATTAGTTTTCTTAATTGATTCCTTGGAAGGTCTACCAAATATCGGATTTTTTTTAATATGATTACTTTTGAGTTCAAATATTATAAGTTTTCATAAGACACTTTTTATTTTATTTTATAAAAAGCTAATTAATTAGATTTATTTTGAGTTTTACAATAATGTAGTTTAATAAGATTTATAGGAATTTGTTTTGTGAGGATAAAAATCGTTATGTTTCGTGTTAACGGTTTATTGTAATCTAATTTGTATAAGACGTACAATTGTTTATTTTGGTTACGACTTTAAAAATCTTATTAGAGAATAGTTAACGAATACCCTAACAAGCCAATTTTTTTGTTGGAATTTTTGTTCCCGACGACCAGTTTTTGAGGAGTTCAAAATATTTCCCATTGACATATTCCGTCGGTAAACCCTTTGCAAAAACATGAATTCCCGAATGCGGTGATTTTTCGACAAGCGTGATTTATTTCGACGTGCATATTTTCGATGAATATGATTTATTTTTTTTTAAAAAGGTCATATTTTTTCGACGGATTTTCGATGAATATAATTTTTTTTTTATATTTTTTTGACGGATATCCATCGAAAATGTTGCACGTTTTAAAGATTATTGATAATTGAATTTTCAATGTTCTTAAATATCTGCATATAAAGATGCACTCTTGTCAAAGATTTATTACAGATGAAGCCAACTACAAAACTTTATCATACACTCTATAACAACAGACATTATTATTGTAGCATAAAAGTCGTGTTTGTCTCATCGTAACGGTAAGAGTATATGTGATGCCGACTCTCTGTAATAGAACATCATGGTATCTGACTATCGTTTTTAGACAGAACATGTAATTACAAAACGTAGAAAAGCAGAAATTCAATTTAACTTTTAAAGATGATAACCTAAAATGCTGTAATAAGTAAACCAATAACAGATGTTTCAGAATTTCAATCAAACATGAAAATCTTGCTGATTTTTGATGAATTTTCGACACAAATTTATGTAGGTGAAAATTCAGTTTCTACTACTGAGATAAATATGCAAGTTTATTAAATGATGATATTTATTTAAAGTAACTAGAAGGGTAGTCGTGCAGTGCAGCGCAATATATCTCGATTTTAATGTTTCGGTTTATTATGTCTTTGTAGATGTTATAATACGGTTTTTATGTGGTTTTGATAAAAAAATTAACGTTTTTATTTTTAAATATAATATAAATTTGAAGATATCAAATATATCAATATCAATATCAAATTAACTATTTAAAAATTCTTATATTTTGTGTAATTTATTTAATTCATTTTTTATTATAATTTAATTTAGATAATAACGAAATAATTTATTTTTTTATTTCATAATATAATCTTTTAAAAGAATAATAATTAAATATTTTATTATAACTCAATGATTATTTAATTATAATTTAGATTTTTTATATTTAAAATGAAATATTTATTTTGTATTTGATTTTGTTTATCTGCAGTTAGTTACACGAATTCAAACATAAAACTTTAATAAGTTGTACTTACGAACAGTTTATTTGTAATCTTGAATTTTAAGTAATATGAATTAACAAAGAATACTTCATGCATAAAAAATGGTTGTTAAGAGTTTTTATCAGATACTTTATAATATAGTATAGATAAAGCAATACATGTACTTAGCTCTATAATTCATGAACTTTGTTTTGGAAAAAAAAATGATATTGACAACTAAAGCTTTTCTTATTGTGAATTTTCAAATATATCAATTAATTAAATAAAAAAAGATTCATTATCCTTTTATTTAAAGTCTTGCATCATTGTTAAGAAGAATATAATCCTGTGGCTAAAATTTCTCCTTTGAAAAGATCATGTTTGTGTTTTTATTGTAAATATAATTATTTTTTAAATAAAATATCCTATTGCAATAAATACAAGACGGGTTTTGGATTCGATCCCCTCTGGTTACTTTCAGCAACCGAATGAGCAAAAACAGGTCTCTTACATTGATGTTTTTAGAGACAGGTTCTATCTAAGGCTGTGGTTAGATTGTCGATGATAAACTTTTACCCAAATATCGTATTACAAAATAATAAGCCGTTGCAATTAATATCAGTACTATTTTGTTTGCCTTTCAAAGAAATAAATATACATATTTTAATATCAAATGTAATCATTTATTAATAAAATATTTTAATGCTCGTATTGCAGTTTGGTATCGTTTAAGACAAACTACATATACAATATTTTTTTTGAGCGTTTTCTCAAACCACAAACTACAATGTATATGTTTCAAGCATAATAACATTGCACTGCCAAATGTGATGATGCACGATTTATGCAGTTTGTACCAAATAAATTTCAATCAATAATTTGTAAAATCATAACTTCAAATAAAATTCAAGGCCAATAGAGTCACATCTTCCCTTTCCCTTTAGAGCTATTATTTATGCCTCCCTGAAAATGGTTTTATTTTTAAAAACGAAGACCATAAGGTTTAGTGAACTGCCTTTATTACATAACGACATTTATAAACAATGGTAAAAAAAGATAAACCAACAACGGAAATGTATCATACTCAAGTAACATTAGAACATATTCCCTTCACTTGGACATTGCACAACATTTGTGAAAACCTCGTCACAACCTCCGTGACAATATAATATTCAGGCCCCTATCCAATGTGCTCGAGGAACAAACTCAAGGCATACAGATCATAACTCCCAAGAAATATCGCTACCTCAAGGTACCCTATGCCTATTTTGCAACTCCACACAATTCGATATTAAAACCCAATAAAACCACTCTATTTATCCTTCAAATGCTTATAATAGTACCCTATTAAAGTCCACAAAAAGCCCATTTGAGAACCAGAGAAACAGACCAAAATCGCACGAAAAGAGGAAACCACGCGACCTAGCCGATGACCTCAAGTCGCGGCGCTAGTCGCACCACCTGCTCATTTCCAGAATTCGATTTTGAACCTAAATTTCTCATCCGAACTTTTCATTATTGGTTTGAAGATTCGAAAATGCATTGATCATAACCCAAAACCTTTTAAAACGCCGATCTAATCTAAAATCAGTTCATATAACCATTACATTATTTTAAATCAAATCTCAAACATGAATCAACATCCCCAAAAATGATTTCATCAACAGAGAAAAGTTTCCAATAGTATTTCAACCATGAAAGCTAAACTAAAACCCACAAAAAATATTGATAATACTTTCTAGTACAGTAACGCTATAACAATAAGAAATCCCCAATCTAAAAGCCATATTCCATGAATTTCAAAATTGGATGACGGAATCAAAACCCCAAAATCTCCGTTGAAAAATAATTAAAGATAAGCTTCTGCCATGGAATCCCCCAATCTCACATGGAAAGAAATTCAACAAAAGCTTAACCTAGAAGATAAGCTCCAAAAGAGAAACAAAAACCATAAAATCCAATTATTTTTATGCAATAAGGTTTTAAAAAATGTTAAAAACATTTGTTTTGTAGTAATCGATTAATAAGAATGTAATTCAATTATTTTTATAGTTATTTATAATTTTTTCTATAAATTATTTATAAATAATGAAATCCAATTTCATTTCAAATCCTACAAACCAAACACACCAATGATTTCAAATCCATTCCAATCCAATCCAAATCCCTTCAAATCCAAATCCCTAAAAAACAATCCTGCAAATCAAATAGACCCTAAATTCCTTAAATTAAAAGCAAACTCCATTAATGGAGGAAGTCAAGAAATAGAAGAGGAATATTACCTTCAATTAATGACACACATTGTGCTCTCAAAAAAGAGGTTTACAAATTTCTCCTCTTTACCCTCTTTGTTATCTTAATACCGAAAATACTTGGCACGCTTTCGTTGGTTGTCCTACTGTGAGTTCGGTCTAGTGTGAAGTGGCTCTTTGTGACACCTTGGAATACTTAATGGATATTAATGATTCCTTGACTTGGTTTCAAGTTCCTTGAGGAAAACCCATGGCCTGGCGGAGACCGGTTTTACGATCCTATGGAGTGTTTGGCATCAC